CCAGATTTTGGCACGGTCAAGAACTTATTTAAAATGGCCTCAAATGGAGAAGATCTACATGAGAGAGTTCCATATTATTGATATGAACGTCTTTGAAGTTTGGGTCATCGCCGTCCGATTTTATCTCGAAGGCCGAAACTATGCTCAAAGTACTAAGATCTTATACTCAAAGTACAGTTTGGCGGATTAAGCCCCCAAGACTATCTCAAATGGAAAAACTTTCTACACAAGTTGTCTTCGTCTCGTCAAAACGGTCGATTTCGATATAAAAACCGTCTTAATCTGAGGTCGTATACAACCTGTGGAGGCAAAACAAGGACAAAAACAGAAGCTGCATAGTCATCTCGGACGGACCAGTTGATTGACTCGGTGAGACCGAGTTGATCCGAGAAATTACATAAAGTTACAGAAAGTTGGCAACGCTCACTCGGTGGCACCGAAGCAAGCTAATCGGTGAGACCGAGTTGATCCGGGAAATTACAAAAATTTACAGAGAGTTGGCCACGTTCACTCGGTGGGACCGAAGCAAAACAATAGGTGAGACCGAGTTGATCCGAAAAATTGCCAAAGATTCCTGTCTGAGTTAGGTTAGGGTTTTTGACGTTTTGGATGGAATTGTTAGTCCTTTTTTTGTACGGGAAGTCCAGCCGCCTCATAAATAGATGAGAGGTGACGGTCGATTGAACAACACACAATCGCAAAACCCATCTACTTTTTACCCTAGTTTTTCATCTCTCCCTTGTTCTTTCTCTCTCGTTCTTCGTATTGGAGGGCAGCGATCCTCGAGGCTCTAGGGGCGGGCGAACCGACCTAGGGCAGCCCATAGTCGCCGCGTGTCTAGACAGGGTCCCTCCCGGGCGTGTGGGGTTTCGGGTCCTGAAAAGCACCCGCCGGATTGCTTGCATACCGCGCTTTCGGACGGGTCCCCTTCAGCGTGAGCTGCGGTGCATCATCCTCGGCGTCGGAGGTACACGGTGACGTGTTCGTGTGCGAACACTCCCCCAACTAGTTTTGGGAACCCCTCGATCCGTTTTCTGATGTATTTTTAGCTCCTCTTTTCTTCTTACCGTCTATTAAAATTCACATAATTTTTCAAATTTGGGAAGATTTTTTTTATATGTGAACATTTTTTGAAACAATGACCTTTTTTGAATTTTGGAATATTTTACATCTTTATCTTTACCTACTAATAAAGCAAATAGTGTTTCTGGTCGTCCGTCATAGAAATAGCCCTCGAAGTTGGCATAATTACCCACTATGCTATCCATAAGTAAAACAATTCGGATTTATTTCAAAATCACCGCGGACTTAGTTCTTATAGTGTGATACACTAATAAAAGACAAGACCACGGCTAGCCCAGTGGCCAAGGCGTTTGCCTAGCATGCGGGAGACCAGCGTTCGATCCCTGGTTCCTACACTTTTTCCTCCTCCTCCACGCGCTAATGGGCCGGCCCATATGCGGCTGGTGGCGCCCTGTTTTCTATTTCGTTTTTCCTTTTTTCTTTTTTCATTCTTTAAATTCATTCGGGATTTTCAAAAGAACCAAATTTTAAAAAGCTGCGAGTTTTATCGAGAAATCATAAATTGTTCATGATTTCAAAAAATTGTTCGCATATCATAGAAAAAAATCACAATATCAAATAGATGTTCATAAAAAAACATGATTTTTAAAAAAATCCCAGTATTCAAAACACATTCTGGAATTAGAAAAAAAATAAACATGATTTTTTTGAAATGTTTCCAAAGTTAATACAGGCCCGTAAATGATGAACAAAACGAAATAACGCCTGCGTAGAAGTTTTAACAGGGGATCTCTAGAGGTTGATTTATGATTTTATTTAGTCCCTCACATCGAGTAAAAAAAAGGCTTCCGTGTTTCGTACAATGCTGAACCCAAAAAATATTTACACAACTTTCTATGGGTTAGTTTTTGTAAACTATATAAAAATGACTAAATGTCTATTTTGCCTCCATACACAGCTATGTTTATTCTGGTACCACAGTAATTGTTAAGATAACCACCGCTACGCTAGATCAAGATGATATACATCATTCATCAGTCTAGCTTAGGCATGGTCCATCAATGCAGTTTGCTCAGCCAAAAATAATTCGTTGTGGCGCCTTAGGAAATCAAATCGTAGTCAAACCATCACATTTTTTGTTTTTTGAAATGACTTTTCAAAAGTCTCTTATCTCATCATGATATCATTTAGACATAGTTTTGAAATGACATTTTAAAAGCCCTTATCTCACCTTGGCATTTTAATAGCCATTATCTACCACTCCTACATAATTTGATAGTTTTTTCTCCCGTTGCAACGCACGGGCATATTTGCTAGTAATTCTTAAATATTTTAACTTTTTTGGAACACTTCTAAAATTCACTTATATTTTTAGAATTTCTGGTGTAGCTAATTATCTTAGGGTCCCGATAACTGCCACACGTGTGGTGTATCGGGTAGTTGTGCCACACGCCTCGTGTGGCATGGACAGCAACACCCCACACATCTACGTGTGGGCAAAACAACTAATGCCCACACACCTCTTTTTTTCCCTCCCGAACCCTCTCACATGCGTGTGTGTGGGCGAAGTTGATAACGCCCACACGCCGTATGTCAGGCCTCGTACCCTCCTGGCCCCGCACGCCACGCGTGACGCCCACCGTGCGCCCGCAGTTGCCATGGTCCAGACCCTCGTCCATGTTCGTTTAACTGCAGTTGCCATGTCGCTGAACTACGGTTGCCATGTCGGACAACTGCAGTTGCCATGGTTGCTCAACTGCAGTTGCCATGTATGGTCTGATCTAATGTAGTTGCCATGATTTCATAATTTTAGGAGTTGCCACATACTAACACTAGGCAGTTGAGAGAGTTGTCATGTGCTCACAAGCATGCTAGGGCAGTTGCCATGTAAAAAGGAAGAGTTGCCATCTGCTTACGTGCACGTTAGGACAGTTGCCATGTACGTGCACGTTGGGGCAGTTGCCATGTACCATGCAAAAACACATGGCAACTCGGTAAAAGAGAGTTGCCATCTGCTTACGTGCACACTAGGCAGTTGTCGTGTACCCTGCAAAAACACATGGCAACTCGGGTAAAAAAAAAGAGTTGCCACCTGCTTATAAAGCACACTAGGGGCAGTTGCCATGTGCGCTGTGAAAACACATGGCAACTAGCAGCTTGGGTGTGGGAGAGGAGACGGACGTGTGGGCGAGATGGCAAATGCCCACACACTAGCCCTTGTGTGCACGTGTAAAGTGGCGTGTGGCGCGAACTGTTGAACGCCCACACACCGGCCACTCCGTATGGTAAAACGGATGTGTGGGCGACCTTTCTCACACACCACACACACGAGTTGTTCTACGTGGCATACAAAATCAGCTAATTCGTGCCAAGATTCGTGCAGAAGTTACTGGACGGTGATGGAGACGTGTGGGTGAGTTGGCTAATGCCCACACGTGTGGGCGTTAACATTTCCGTTATCTTAAGACGGTTGTGTGAACAAAAACTAACTACAGCCTTTTTTTATTTACTAAAGTAGCACGCACGAATCTGAATAAAACGACCAAAGTGTGTGGGCCCACTACGTGTTTGATTGCTCGCTGTTTTTAAATAGTGAACTTTTATCGATTTTTTTTTTATAATTTTTAATACATGAGAATTTTTTAGAAAATCCCGAACAATTTTGAAATTTTGGGAACCTTTTTTACGGAAGATCAAAAGAAAAAAGAGAGAGAAAAACCTGGTAGAAGGACTACAACAAAACACTGCCCCCAGCCATTGCTAATTAGTGAAGGAAGTTTTATTGTGAAGGCTCAAATGTAATAGAGTGCACTCATTTGGCCCACCAAAAGATCCTTCGCTAGCTCCGCCACTGTCTAGAAGGTCCCAAAATCGGGATCCTATTGTTGGCCACGTGGCTAAATGTGCTCGATCGACACATCGATCTTTTGTGATATCCCAACTCTTCGTCACACACATCAACAAATAGGAAAATGCCCGTGAAAAGGTATTGAGGGAGCTCACATGGTCGGCCCACCAAGGCGAGCTGTTGGCTCGCTCGGTCGTCCTCTCTTCACTCGTTTGGTTGACTAGTTGACTTTACTAATAAAAATCATGAAATTTTAAAAATCATAGAGTTGTATTTAAAAAATGAATTATTAGAAAAAATTCATGGACTTAAAAATTGTTCAGGTTCTTCAAAAAAGTTCATAAATTTGAAAAACGTTCACAGAGTTGAAAAATGCGTGAAAGGAACAAAAAATTCATGGACTTGAAAATTGTTCAGGTTTTTCAAAAAAGTTCATAAATTTGAAAAACGTTCACGGGGTTGAAAAATGCGTGAAAGGAACAAGAGGACGCTCGGGAGATTTGAGCAAAATGTGAATTCACACTCTTAAAATATATCTACATATATTCATATGTTGTTGAAATCTCAAAAAAGACAAATATTTAGGAACGAAGGAAGTATACACACTACATTATGAAACAAAGGAAATAATTAAAAGAAGATAAGCCTCTTTTTTCTCTTTCCTCCACCATATTGTTTTTCTCTGGTGTTATATCTGAGTCACAAAATCAGATTAAGAGTACAGCTTCTGGAAAATACATTCAGGGTGAAAAAGATCTAGTAACAAAAAAATGATCCGAGTGCAAGAAATCCATGCAAAAATCTGATCTCAATACTAGGAGGAACCGGAAGAAACAAAGAATGGAACAAGGATGATGTCGCACACTATGTTTACCATCATAGACTGAAATTATTCTGAACTCTGTCAAGATATAAATTAGCTACATGGATCATTCTATTTACAAAATTTACAGCATCAGCTACCATGTCGGGTTCATCAGCCATCACCGCAATCTACAGCATCACCATGTCAAACGCTTGCTTGCTCTGACAGGAAAACCCGAGTTATTATCCTCAGCAGAGACAACCAGCAGGCTGAGCCATCACTGACATCAGACCAACACACAAGGAGCTATACATTGGGGTCATGTCAGAACGCCGTGCACAGGTTGCTCTTTAAGTTTGAGGAGCATTCCTGCTGTATGGGAATGCCAGGGCTGCAAAGCCGGGTCCTTTTCGGCTCCGATATTCTAACATGTGTTATTGCCGCAGTCAGTGCGTCGACTATGCCACATTCATCCTGGTCCTCCGACCTCTGGCTCGACGAATCTGAAGCTGACGACTCAGAATGTGATCTAATTCTGTCCCATGGAATTTTGGGTGCTACAATCTGGTTAGTGACATTAGGAGTTACAGCCTTCAGGGTACATTCCGTGTAAAACAACACCCATGGATGACCTGAAATAGTATCATCAATAAATTAATTAAAACCTTATAAAATATACATAAAGTTATGCTGGATGAGAAACTGCCTGGACTTACAAAGAACTTGATCAGCAGTCATTCTAGAAGAGACATCTCGATCCAACATTCGACTTATAAGATCCCGTCCAAGAACTGACATTGATTCCCATGGACCGCTGTTGAAATCAAGCTCAACTGTCTTTATAGCTTCAAAGACAGCTTCCAGAGAGCCCCCTTGAAATGGAAGTGAACCAAGCAGTAGTACATGGAGGAGCACCCCAGCACCCCATATGTCTACTTTCTCAGAATAGCTTCCTGACAACACCTCAGGCGCCACATAGGCTGGGCTCCCAGCAACGCCAGACAATTTCTGACCTGTTTAGTGGTGACCAAAAACATCAGCTACTTCTAGTAAACACACATTTATACATCTGACTGTCCAAGTAAAACCCTAAAAAGATGATTTGGGGCTATTCAGGAACCAAAGTGTAGTCAATTATACAAACATAACAGACTAAACAAAATAGCATCCCTTAGCACAAATTAGGTGATACTGGATTCTTAGAACTTCAATGCATAAGGTAAAATATCGTACAGACTTATCACCATTTGCTAGGTTTAGAGCATTGCGGCATTAGATAAACTGTCCGTCACTCAATGTTCATGCGGCTAATTTCTCTCATTCTGCTCCACCTCAGCACCATGGGATGTATTTGTTTTTAGCCTAGGGCAGTGTCAGTGAAGTTTTAAGACAACACATGCATCACTCTAGCATGACAGAAGAGACTCTGAACTGAATTTGTAAGTGTCTAATAAGAAGTAATAAGACAGCAGTGGCTTACTGCATTGCATTAGAGCGATAACTGATAACTAGAGTTGGAACAGAGGATAGAGACATGGGTAACAATAGATAAATACTGCAGAATTACTATAATCTAAATATTACCTTACAAAATATAAGCAGCTGTTTATAAGAACCAGTGCCCCTGAAGCCATGCTGACAACTCCAACTCATAGACTATATGACTCCATTCAGACAGACATCACACCACTTCCTAATTCATCAAAATGACTCAAGACCATATTCAAAATATTACACAGCCTGTTTGGTATGCTCAAGAAGACTATTCTGGCCCTCAGACTTATCACAACAGGTACTTGCAGGAGCATGCCATAAATTAATATCAATACAAGGATTAAATTGATCAGTGTAGATTCTTAACATCCAAATTCCACGCAAATAAGAAAATTAGTATCAGTACCACCATAAGTAGAATGAAACCAACTATCAATTAGCGCAATGCCTCAATTACCTTGGATATCTAGCAAAATATTAGTACCAATGAAGGCACCACATGCTACCAATTCATGACTAAAAAAACCTTAACATATTAATGGGACGACACAGAACATTTCTTCATTCGCAATACCATGCAAAACACTGAATCGGCATGTAGAAATCATCATTTAAACAAGAATCTGAGCGAAACATTCACCACTTCCGACTCCGCAATGACTTAAGAAATGAGAGCGCCTAACTCTTGATGCAGAACTGGTACTATCTTATTAGTTACACAACCATCATAACCAAGTGGCCCAATTCAGTGAATACAATCAGTATCGACTGTGTAAGTATGAAACATGAAATGGTCTGAAATGCTCAGTACTTTAAGAGTGCTATATTGGGTCTCACACTATACATATAGATACTTGCAGGTGAATGCACAAAGAGTTTCCAGGCATAGGCGCTCTGACTTTGAGACTCCATTCAAATCACCCCCATTCTCTAAGCATATCAGGCAAGAGGAGAAGACACATGAATAAATTTCCTACCAACTTTCTGACTCAAAAATCAAAAGCTATCCAACTGACTTGTTTAGAAGTTTAACACATTAGATTAGATGATATGCATGGTCACAAAGATGAGCAACCTGTAAAAATGCTGTGTGATTGAAACCTGAAACCCGCCGTAATCCAGTTAACATGGCAAATTACTCGCATCGCAGATCAACTATGTACAACCATCAATTCTAAATGTTGTAACACCATACTAATCATTAAAGATTATAAAACCTTGTATGGTCCAATGTTGGACTTCCAGTCGATCTTCTACTACTTCTAATTGATGTCTTTTTTGTCATATAAAGCAAATCAAAATTGCAACTTGTGTAAACATAGAGTACCCCCAGGAACCCAACTTATTTATCATCTAGTAGAGCTTCAAAGTGAAATATCAGCAAGAATTTACCGTTAGTAACTCGTGCTGCCAATCCAAAATCAGCTAGTTTCATCTTGCCAGTCTTGGTGAGCAAAATATTCTCCGGCTTAATGTCCCTGTGGATGACGCCCATTTCGTGGCAGTACTTGACGACCGACATTAGATCCTTGATGACGAGGGCGGCTCGCTGCTCGGAGAAGGTGCCGTCCCTGGCCATCTCGTCGAGCAAGCGGCCGCCGCTGCAGAGCTCCATGACGAGGTAGAACTTGTCGGCGTCCTCGAAGACGGCCTTGAGCGTGACGACGCCGGGGTGGCCGGAGAGGTGCTGCATGATCTCGACCTCGCGGTGGACCGTCTCCTCGCCGTTCTTGGGGAGCGCCTTGCAGGCGAACTCCTCGCCGCCGGCCTTGGCGCGGCAGATCCGGACGGAGCCGAACTTGCCCTGGCCGATCTCGTCGCCGAGCTCGTACTCGGTCTCGAGGCGCTTCTTGCGGCCTATGCGCGTGGCGGACTCGATGCAGCCGACCTTGCGCTTGAGGCCCCGGCCGGGGCTGTCCGGGGTGGCCCGGCCGCTGGCCGGCGGCGCCGTCATGACCACGCCGCCCCGGCCGGAGGCGGTGGCGGCGTCATCGCCGGCGGCGGAGGGCTTCTTTTTCTTCTTGTCGGGGCGCGGCTTCCGCTCCCGGCAGGTCCGCTTGCGGTCCGCGGAGGCGTCGTGGAGGGAGCCGGCGAGGGAGCGCGCGCCCTTGCGCTTCCGCGGCAGCGACTCCATCGGGGGGAAGGGGAGTGGAAACCCTAGGCGGCGTGCCCGCGCCTCCTGCGGATCATGGGGTTGGGGATCGGGTGGGAGGTTGGTGGCGAGATGCGGAGGAGGGGGGGAGGGGCTCG